CCGGTGTTTTAGCGTTCAATCGCTGCAGTGGGGACCATTTGGTGCAAGGTGGTGCAATCCAAACAATCTCTGGGCTCTGGTGGTAGTACAAGTGGATGAACTGCCTCTGGTGGCTGGGTTTGGTGAAGTCCCATCCGCTGAGGATGTCGAAGGTGCGGACTTTGTATCCCAGTTCTTCCATGTGTGTTGCTAGCACTGCGTCACCAGCATAGACTTCCCAGAATTGCATCTGGTGGCTGTCATGTGCTGTGAGTGTTGTCTCGAGGGTGTGCTTGTAGTGTCGTGCCAGCTGCTGTTGATGTAGTCGGAAGCTGCGGACCAGTTTGTCCGTCAAAGTTCTGCGATAGCAGGTGTCATCATCATCTTCTGGGTCTGTGGTGTCGTTTGTGTCTTCCTCGTTGAAGTTGTCGTCCTCATTGGCCTGCATGCCGTGTTCTCCCAAGTCGGGAGGTGCTAGGCCTGTGAGCTCAATGTAGTGCTGGAGCGTGTAGTGCTCTGCTTGTGCAGGGTCTTGTGTCAGCAGGTTGTAGGTCTCTTCCATCATGTAGTCAAACTCATAGCTGCTGTGGTCCGGTAGGTCGGTCAGACCTTGATCCAGCTGTAGGAGATGTTCTCCTCTGGAGCCGGTGATGATTGGTGACCATGGGCCGTCATCAACTCGCATGGTGTCTTCCATGAAGTTGAGCTGGAGTTTCATGGCCTTGAGAATTGGCCTGCCGATCAGGAGAGGAGTTGATCCAGGAACAACGAAGGCCTGCGTGCGGCCGAGGTGCCCTTGGATGCATACTGGCATGTGTACTGTCCATTGTGCTTCAAGGCTGTTGTCTCCGCCAAACTGCAGCGTCTTTTGTGCAGGACGGAAGTGGAAGCTGGAAACATCGAACCCTTGTTCGTGGTAGCTTTCGATGTAGTTCATGAGGATGTCATGGCCAAGGACCATGCAGCTCGCTCCACCATCCATGGTGCCGAAGAGTCCCTTTGGGATGCGCTGGTAGTCCTTCATTTCGAACTGGACCATCATGGCGTTTTCGGCTTTTGCCTTTTTGGCGGAATTGGTGGGGCTGTTGGTGGTGCTTCTCTTTTGAGTGCACTGTGCTGCAAAGTGTCCAGGTCCACATCGTAGGCATGTCTTGGCTTGGTTCAAGGCTGTGCGGCCTCGACTCTTGGCATCACCTTTTTGTGGAGGTGACTTGGAGCCCTGCCCTTTTCCTTTTCCTTTTCCTCCCTTGGAGAGAGGAGGATATGGCCTTTGAGATGATGTTGGACTCGATGAAGTTGCGCCATCGGTCAATGCGACCACTGGATAGAAGCCTCTGTTGTTGCGCAGCTCAGCAAAGCGGCGCCTGGCATCCAGGTAGGTGGCATAGGCTTCCTCGTACTCAGGGTCTTCTTGATCCGGGTAGTCCTCATCGTAGCCGGTATAGTTGGCTGTTTCATCGCCAAACTCTTCATCATATGCTTCATCAGCATACTCTTCTTGAGTTTCCTCATAGTAAGCCTCGTCATACTCAGGCTCATAGGTCTCTTCAGGGTCGTCCATGTAGTCGTCCTCGTGCATGGTGTAGGCCTGAGCTGGTTTCTTCCATTTGTTGAACCCTTTTCCTTTTCCCCCAACTGGTCGCTGGGAGAGTCCAACCTTTCCCCTGTAGTCCTGGCCGTACAGGTAGTACATGGCTTCTTCGACTTTGCTTTCTTCGAGGCTGGAGCCACATTGGCTTTGCACCAAGTGTTTCTGGTCTTGTGAAAGACCGCTTCTTCTCAGCATCAGCCAGCCTGTGATCTCGGTCGGCAATTTGATGCCGTGTTTTTCGACTTCTCGGAGCGCTTCTCGATGTTCAGCGCAATACGACATCAGTGTCTGGTCGTAGCGCCTGGTGAGGCTGTAGAAGAACTTCTCGAATGATCTGGGCTGTTCGACCCGTGCATCGTAGCGGAAGGTCTTGTCGAGGATTTCAATCACCTTGGTGAACCCTCCTTCTTTGTCTTCGCTTGCCGATTCAGCTATCGGCTCGACTTGCTTCCAGGCTGTTCCTGACAGGGTTGTCAGGAGGTTGATGACTCCTTCTTGTGGCTTCTTTTGCAGAACCATCTTCTTCTGGTAGAGGTGAATCCGAGCTCTCCATTCCTTGTAATCTTGAGGCCTGTTGCTGAAGGTCGGCACCCAAGAATCTTTACTTGCATCCACACTCGAGGATGCTGCAGCAGTTGAACTTGCCATCGAGCTCGACCGGGAGGTAGTAGCTAGCAGCAAGCAAGCAGGAGCCCTGAGCCTTGCGGCTCCGCTACCAATTTGAGGTTGGGTAGCTCAACCGTCGGAAAGTGACTCTCGAAGTTCACGATCGCAAATGAAAACCGCTCTCAAAAGCAGCCGCGGACTTTTCGCGGACTCGTGGCCATCAGGCTTCAAGGTGCGCATGCCCTCCCAGCTATCGGGAGGAAAACAGGTGGTTCGAGCAACAAAGCGGCAAAGCTTCGGCTTCGTCCACGAACCTCAGTGAACCTGTGCAGCAGCGAAAACATGTGATGGCATCACATTCACACTATGGAAATGGACTCTATGGATGGGTGCCGTCTACTCTGAGTCTAGCTTTTCAAACATCATCATTGAACATGCCAGTTCAAAGAAACAATGAAGAACAACTCATCAAAAGAACATGGTCCATCTATGTCCATCTCCACAAAAGAGTTTTTGAGGCCAGCACTGCGGGCATCCACTTTCTGCTTCCATGCTTGGTCACCCCTGAGCAAAGCAATTCGTGTGTGTGTGTGTGTGCGTGTTTGTGACCAATTGTGCCAACATGTGCTAAATGATCGCCGAGCCGAACGAGGAACAACGCCAAAACCGCAAAAAGACAAAGAAAAGGCACGAAAACCATGCACTCCTAGCTAGCTTAATTTTCTTATAACTTTTAGCTTTTCCTATAGCATCCTATAGCTAACTGATCTATTCTCAAAGCTTTGCGCGATTCTTCCGTGCCCCACTCCTGCGCTCCGCCCCGAGCCTCGCCCCCATCGACCGGTCACATCGGGCACCCGTCGGGACCGGAGGACGGGCGGAAGCTCCGAGCGTTGGTGAAACGCCTCCAGAGTGGTCTCCTCTCCCCCTTTTTGAACCCGTTTTTGCGTTGAACACTTCGGTGTAGAGATGATGAAGCTCGAGGGTAGCGAACCGAGCCCAACGACCGAGTCGCTCGACTTGGACGCGATGAGATCTCATTGGATGCAGCATGACACATGACACTGGCGCTGCATCCGCTTCCTCTTTTGGTCGACGATCAGCAACCCTCGAGTTGTTTCAAACGGGACGATGACGTAGCAGAAGTGTAGCAGAAATGGAGTCTCCACGCGGGGGCATGGAGAGTCTCCATGGAGAGTCTCCACGCGATTTGTAGAGACGCCCTTCTGCCACCGACGAAGCAATAGAAATCAACAAAACTGTCAGAGATAGGTGGTATATGGTGGCACCTTCACATAGCATGGGTAGCCTCTGCTTCGGTCATCCCCTGCTTTGGTGGTCCTAAAGGTTCTCAACAGCGACGCAAACGCTGCACATGAGTGTTGATTGGCATCAAGTTTCGATAGTTTGGTTCCATTGCTTTCTGAGCGTAGCCAAACGGGCGTGGTAGAATCTAGGGGCCACCTTTAAGGTGCCATGGTCAAATTAAACGGCTGCCTCCTGGTCGGAAGCGCCAGGGTGTCAAATCCAGCTGATTGGAAGAAATCCTGCACAAGCTCCAAAAGCAAGAACACATGCCATCATGTTGGGGGCCCATCCATCTTTGCTTGTCATGGGTGCAAAATAGCTCTTCCATCACCAAAATCACGCTAATTCACGCGAAACGTGGGAGTTACAATGTTGGTCTCACCGTTTAACGGTTGGTCTAAGCAAATGGGAGCGAAGCATGACGCCCATGATCAAGGTCTTGACATGTCACCTTTGGGAGACGCGCCATCCTCTGTACGTCCAAGTTCCTGGGCGTTTCCCGCGGACGTGCGACGCGTCGAAAAGTAACATGGGCGATGGACACGTGGCGTGTCAACGGAGGCCGGGAAGGAGGACTTGTTGCTTGGAGGGTGCGAAAGCGCATGATCCATTCATATAAATTCCATCAAGTTGCTGTTAGGCATGTCCATGGAGTGTCCTCTCACAATGCTTGGAGTGTCCTCTCTCTGAAAATCTCAGGACGTGGGCTCTCTCTTCCGGGCTCGGCTGGTGGCAATGGCCGGGAAAGGATCGATAAAGGTGATCGAAAAGGCACATCGTGCTTCTTCACCCCAAGCTCTGACAGGTGCATACAGGTGCTTTTTTTAGCCAGGACCACTGTCTGAATCTCAGGCCTGCAAGTTGCTGGGGGCCATTCAAAGCCAAGTCTCCAAATCTTTTGATGATTTACCTTGGACTGGCTTGCCCTGCAAGGTCTCTGGGCAAATGGAGCTGAAGTCGGCTCCTAAAGTCCATGTCAAGGGAAGTCATGGGTGGCACAGACACGCACGGATGCACAAGTGGCACTGAAGTTGTTATTTCCGGAGGCCAACAAGCCACCTCGTACTACAAACTCTACTCAAAAACGGGGCTCCCAAATCCATAGAGAACATCCTCAGTATCTACATTATAGGTAAGGTAACCTTTAAAAGAAACAACACACTCCTTCGGCGATGCCTCTGGTTCGCATTTGCGATTTCGAACCGAAAACGCCGCTGATGTCCGGGTCCTTTCTCCGCAAGTTCCGGATGGCCCACCTGTCCACAGTCCCGGGCACATTGAGCAACGGGACCGAGGAACACCTCAAAGCAGCTCTGTTCAAAGACGCCACGTCATGACTTCATCTGGCCGAAGACGTTCCCACAATAACGCAAAGAAATAGGTTGAAGTCTGGCAAAATATACGTACTGTAGCCTGTAGCCGTTTTTTTGACCTCACATGGGAATGATCCAAGAAAGTACAGTATAATGCGAGCTTTCTTCCAACCAGCACCCAGATGTCAGGGAGGGGGCCAAACTCAGACGCGGGCAAACTTCATGATGAAGTGCTGGAGGAATGTCATCGTGCTGAGGAGGCCGATTAATATCCATTGGAACTCCACCGAGAGGCAATTGTTGGGCCCGACCTTGCAGCATCTCAACGTGCGTGGCGACATCACTGCTTGGCTTTGCCTGGATTGAACGTGCTACAATCTGCTGCAAGCACCTTCCGTGAGGTTCAAATCTAAATCTGCTGGAGCTCCAGGAAAAGGCTTTCTCCTCTGTATACCAGCTGCTTCCAATGGGTCACGAATGGACAACCCAATACTACCTAAAGGTCCCCATTGAACACCCATTGGAAGTGCTAGGTACCATTGTCGTGCCTCTCACTACCCCTTTCGAGAAACAAGAATAGTCCAACACCTGCGCTCGTCACACCTATCATCTCCCGGAATGGCACCACAAAATATAACAAAAATTAAACTTTGGAACACCAACATCCCCCGCCGTTTGGGGCAGTTCGGAGCTCTAATTGCTTGCCAAAAGGCGGCTTTTTCGCCAAAGGCGCTTTTTCGCCAACAACTCACACCGACCCCTCCGAGTCGCTTCTTTTCGGCTTCTGTCGGGTGGAAAGCATGTGGTGCGGTCGCAACAACCGAGAGACCCTCTCCCAAGATCCCGCCCTTATTGGCCTTATCCCTACACCTCCAGTCGTACCTCCTCAGAAGGTATTTTTAATTTGGACCAAACCCACCCCAAACGCCTTCTCAGAAGGTACTTGGAGGCCTAGGGTATAGAGAACCCTGGCCATCCTCCCAAGTTGGGGCTTCGAAGCCCAAGTCACACAATGGTCGATCACCGTGAAGCCTTTTCCCGTGCTGATCCGTGGATCGTCCAGTGGCAGCGCTGCCAGTGTGGCGGCCGGCGGCAAACAGTTGGTGTCGGTGGAGGGTAGCCAAGGCGGGTCGGTGGCAGCGTGCTGCTGCCAATACTTCACCTGACCATAGTCACAAAGAGCCTGTGCACCCTTTTGCTTTGAAGTTGTATGAGGAATGACGTCAAAACATATCAAAAGAACTGGTCTACTATGGTCTACTCCAAATATATGCAATAATATGGATTACATAGGACCTAGGAAAAGCAGAAAAGAAAAACATCTTGACCGTGCTGCTGCAACACATTCATCACGCCCACTTCTCCGGCCCGCTCACCCTTCGAGAGCCCTTCTCCCTGGCCTGGGGTCCCAAGAAGCATTTCCCCACGCCGCCCACGGAGATGTGCTGCAGAAAGGGGAACAGCTGCCCAGCGGCCACGGAGTTGGGCGCATCGCAGCTCACGCGGAAGATGCCTGGGTTTCGGCGGAGGAGCGGGGTTACGGCGCGGGTTTAGGCAGGTTTCGGCGCGAGGAAGGTTTCCCCTGCATGTTGAGACGCCAGCTTCTAAGGAGTTCGGATGTTGATGATACTTGGATCTATGAGGTTATTGTCTGCAGGATGGAAGCTTCCCCAGACTTCACCTCAAGGTCACATTGTAGGGCGCGGTTAAGAGGAAGGCAGCATGCCAAGGCTTCGCGACCCTTTACATAGTTAGTTTTCGTGGCAGGCGCAGTGCAAGAGTGCAGAAGCGAACCAAACGTTAAAAGTTAAAACACAGCACCACAAAAGAAATCACTAGAAACTATGCACCCTATCGCCCTTTCAGTGAAGGGCATCTAAAAGTGCACAAAAGGACCTAAGGCAACCGAAGCCAAAAGCATTGTACGTTTGTTTGCAGGAAAACTGCGGCGAATAAGCTACAAGGGGACCGGACCAGGACCAAAGGACCAGGGAGCCAAAGGGCCTGCGGACCAGAGGACCAAGGGACCAAAGGACCAAGGGACCAGGGGACCAAAGGACCCGCAGACCACAGGGCCAGGAGAGCAGCAGAAGAGGCCTATCAGGAAAACAATTATCCTTTATTAATGTGGTTGATCCTCTTTCTATTTTTGTTGATGCTCTTTTTACTTTTTTGTTGATCTAGATTTAGATGCCCCATAATTATGCATGTTCCTCCCTCATGATCCCTCATCCCCACGCAATCGAAAGTTGCTTCGAAAACCAACCCCAAACTTACAACATGGCATCAGACATGCTAAAAATTCCAGGCTTTACTGTATCATCCCACCGTGTGTTAGTGAGCAGCCACTGAGCCGCTCCTATAGGCGATGTTCTTTAGGATGTGACTCACTGACCACTTGCACAACCCCCCACCCACTCCGCGCGCCCCTTTTCCCGGCCGAGCCGCAGTTCCAGGGATTTGGAGGCGCCAAGATGAAGCCCGCGACCAAGGTCAAGGAGGCCAAATAGGTGACGTTGATTCCTGAGGAGGGAAGAGGGAAGATGAGGTGCGGACCTCTGACCTCTCCCATGGTGTCATCTCCATGGTGCAGGCCCCTGAAAGACCTTGCTTTTGGCTGGCCACTCCTGCGAACCTTGATCTAGACCAGCAAGAACTGCAAGAAGAAACCGAAGGGGAGGTAATCGATTTCACGGAATCGCAGGAGGAAGGTCGAGGCGCAGATTGGGGGTTCAGTGGTCGGTAATCCAAACAAGCCCAGATGCCTGGCATCCCGGTTCGAGCCGATGCCGACGTCACCCCGAAAGGTCCTTGCAAACTGGCCATCCCTTTCCTTCCTCTGAGAAACCCCGTTTCTTCATGTGAACTTCTCATGGCCACCTGTCCCATGCTGTGATTCGCCCGGGTGTGTCGTTTCTCACGGGGCGCTCCAAAAAATCACCTGACAATAGAGCTCACCTGACAACACCTCCGAACCAAATTCCGGTAAGAGTTTCCCAGGTTGTGCAGCACACACTTCCGGAAGTCACCGCCGTAGGTGTAGATGTAGGAGCAGTTGGCCAGGATCACAATCATAAAGACAGAAGCCAAGGTACCATCGTAATTGTCGCCTTTCAACCTTGGAGTCGAAAAGAAAAGAACCATGTTGCTGACTGGCTCGCCTGGCTTCCTGGGTGCCTCAAACTTGATCTTCAGCCGAAACACATCCACAAATGGGCGCTGATCGAAATGTCGAAGACCGGGTTCAGCGGGTCATACCACTCCTGGCCTTTCATCAGGAAGAGGGCCATGATATAGAAGAGCAAGACCAGAAGCACCTCATCCGGCGGTTTTCACCCGGGCCAGAAGGTGGACCCTACGCCTGTCGATGTTTTGGACATCCGGAAGGCCAAACAAAGGAGTTTGGAATGGTTTTGGGATGCGTTTGGAAGGTTTGGATGGTTTGGATGGGATTTTGGAATTGTTTTGGATTGTTTTGGAATGGTTTGGAAGGTTTTGGATGGTCTATTTCCAAAACCTTCCCAGCTATTCGAGGTGGTGAGGTGTTGCCTGGTTTTGCACCGATTGGAGCTACACACCCCAAATGGCCATTCCACATCGTGGGCTCTCGGGCCACGGCGAACCTCCGACCCTTCTCGACTGACTGGAGACTCGGCTGGAAAAAAAAGCCTCTGGGAACACCAATCAGCCAAATCATATCCAATCATCATGTCATAATGATTTCCATCTAAGAACGCCACCCTCTTCAACCCAAACCCGAACTCTTTGAGACATCTCCCGTCCGGCCGCTGAACCCTCCAGACGCCGCGACGAAGCCGCTAAGCCGGCTGAGGCAAAGGCCGCGCCTGGCTGGCGATAGAGAGCACGGTGCGATAGCCCAACAGCGAGGCAGTGGGACGGATCTTCTTCAGCCGGGGCAAGGCACGGGAGCGGGTCATGTAGAAGGTCACCAAGATACCTGGCGAAAACGTTCCGGGCGTTCGCCGCAGGCGTTCGCCGCGGGCGTTTGCGGCGTTGTGCAGCGTTGGGGGATTGCATGTTCCTCGAGCCTGAGGGGAAAACATTCTTTTTTTCCGAGGGACTCCCTATAAGAGCATAGCGACACAGCGTATATGTGGGAAAATGTGTCTGCCAAGGTTTCTGTGACTCGCTCGTTTCCGGATGTCGACCTTTGTCTAGCACTGGAGTGCGGTCGAACTGATCCTGTGCACATGCTCGATTTTGGGGCGATTGCTCGTGTGTTGGTGGATTGTTTGGCATGCGGCATGCATACGTATCATACGTTGACCAATTTCGAGATCACCACATATCACCACTATAGCTACACCTTTGTGATTGAAACGGCTACTAGCTTAATGGAATTTGGGCACAGGAACAGCCAGCTAATTACCAGCAATTCTGGAGTTTCACATCTTGCAAGAGCTGCGAGGAATTCCGAGGATTTCTTTACCACAGGGTCTGAGAATGAGCTGGCACCTGAAATTCCCTCTTCAGGCTCTGGACAAGTTGATGAGCCTTCCCGAGCTCCAGAACCCCGAGCTCTCACGGAGGCATCTCTCTGACCCGAGTCGATGCGCATGGGCTCCATGATCACACGTCATCAAGCCGAGCCGCCCAGAAAGATGTCCTTGATTAACCAGATCCATTCCCCCGGAGTGATATTGTTGTCAATCATGGCGATCCTCAGGCTCAGAATCCAACCACATCTCTTCAATCCTGAGGCCTTCTATAGGCTATTCTAAAAACCATTGGCTGGCATCAGGCCAGTGGCCACCTGCGAACTGACTTGATGCATAAAGGGGACTTCTTGATATATAGGACTAATGGGGAACCCACTTGGTTGGACCAGATCCCGCACCTATCTGCACCTCAAAAAGGCCAAAAAATATGCCTTTTGGGCCCTAAGGGGTCAGTACTGGGTTCAGGTTTGATGCAAGTGGACTCCTCCATCGACAAGAAAAGGTGCACCAAATGGTCCAAGGCGCGTAAATATGCCTCAGTACACGCAGAGCGGAAAGAAGGCCGAAATCACTCAGAGTTTGCAAGAGCGGTCCCACCCAGGCCACTCCACTAGTAAGACCAAAATAGAATGATGTCATGTTTCTTCCCACCAACCATTGCCAACCACCCCTCTCTTGTCAACGGTCAACGTAAACATTTGTAATTGGTAACCAGCAACATTCACCTTTGTGGTCAAGGTCGCTGAGCCCCTCTGTTGTGTATTAAACTCATCGAAGAAGTGAGCCTTCACTTTCACCCACGAAACCAACTCTAAGAAGCCTCACCTTCACCTTGTGGTAGGATGTGGTAGAGGTGGAGCAGGGGGAAAGCAAAACCATCATCGCCCCAGGCACTGGTGAAGCTGAAAGCCTGGATGATGAAGTAGGAGAAGGTGGCTAAGTTGGTTGCCAAACAGGCGCGCCCTTCACGGATGAGGTCCGGCACCGTGATCCTCAGTGTGAACTTTCCAGAAAATGACAGGAGTCAGGAGTCCAGGAGTGTGATTTAAGAGGTGCGGGGAAGTTGGTGTTGATGTTCTTTCGATATTGCCTCAACCGCCACCGCAACCGCGGTTTCTCTTCGAATTCGGTTCGTTTCTTTTCATGTCTCTCCGTCGGTGTTTGTTCGTCTCATAAGCCTCAATGGCCGGGTTGCATGGGCTCAAGGCGACAGACCCTTTGAGCTCTTGCCTTCTTGAGCCACCTTCATATCAAACGAGATCCCTGCCATACCCTCATCCACCTTCTCAGGGCTTCAAAGAAGGAGAACAGGCAACAATTATATAGAATCATCAATAATGTTAGAATGTCTGTTCATTTCTTTTCCTTCAAAAGACCTCCGGGCAATTCTGAGGAACTCGTGACCTCATTCATCAAACAGGTTCGACCTCAACTCCTTCCCAATCGTTCCCCCCAACTGCGCTTCATCCGAGTTGCAAGGTGATCTGGTTCCCTGACACCTTCTCCTGCCGCCCCGTCGAGAACGGCGCCACCAACGAGGCTTCCGCCGTCGACAGCGCCAGCCCCGCGTGCGCGGCGCGCAGCGCGCCGCAGTCGTTGCCGCCGTCGCCGGCCATGCCCACCTGGGAGCGCTCAGGGTCAGCACCGAACCGACCCGGTTCGGTACGGCTGGACCCGTCCGAACCTAACAGATCATCACAGTGGAGACCAATAAGCGCATCGAAGGTACGACTGGATATCTAGGGGTTCGATGGAACATGATCTTGGCGGTGCTCGAGATGTTAATGCTATGGAATCAGATGTAGCTTGAACGTCAGGCTACGGACGGATGTTTCTCTGGACGTCAGGTCAGGTCCAAACTGAGCCAAATGTTTCTTTTGTGCGCCTAGTTGGCCGAAAGCTGCCCAAAAGGCATTTGTCCTCACCTCATCTCACCTCCAAAGGGATTGAACACCCACAGGTCGCTTCTGTGGCAGTTCCAGATTCCAAGCGGCAATCAGCCCCTGACGTTGAAAGAGCTTGATCACCTCGGTAGAAGCCAGTCACGAGGTTCAGGTGACCGAATTCAGCATCGAAGGTGACCGAATCCGCCCTAAGATGGACATCTTTTGGATGTCTTTGGACACCATGGATTGGTCGTTTGTGTATGTTTGTGTCATTTCTGCGCCCTTCTGTCCTGTATTGCGCTCTTAGAGTCTTGGAGTCTTGTGTGCCCTTCCGGTTGTGTCTCTTGTACTATATTTTTTTAGAGCATGTTTCTTTTTGGGCGCGCGTCGTTGTTCACTATGTTAAACTGTCAATCTTGCACCCTAGACAAAGGGCGTGGCACTGCCCGGATAATAATTAAGTCGTTCAAGCACCATGTAGCCGAAACAAAATCTGCATGCAGTACTGGTTATTGACATATGACATTGGCATGGAAAATGGCCCAGGGTGCAGAGGAGGCTGATCGGGAAAAGGTCCAGTGATATGTCCATTGTCCATGCCCAACTGAAGTGTAAAGGGTTTGCAAACACTGTGACAACCTATAACCTATCAACCAGCTTCATTCCCCTCACCTCAAGAATACGGCTATAGAAATTGGTAGAAGAATGATGTAGAAAACCCCTATACCGGGTTTAGGTCCGCGTGTTTTCCTTCACATGGCGATACTCCGTGCGTTGCAGCTTTGCCGAAGCATCTTCCACCCCCTTAGGAGAATGCGCCTTCGAAAAGAAGTTGACTCCTCCCTCATTGACGCACCGCTTCGCCCGTACAGGAGCCCAAATCACGTTGATCTTGTCGACGGGCTTCATCCGGCCAAAGACCACACAGCGAGGCCAAATCTCCTCCAAGAGCGATTCCCGGTGCAGTCCGTCAATTCATTCGGTGGGTCGACTGGGGTAGGACGGGACTTCGTCTGCAAGACGAAGCAACCAATGGGTCGATGAGAGTCGATGGAACCCCTGAAAAGCTGCGGGACCTTCATGGAGATCCTAGGTAGTGTAGGGGCTTCCATTGGTGACTCCTTTGAAGGTGCTGGATATAGAGCTAAATATGAATAAATCAACTTCTTTGTTCAGATCCTTCGGTGAACAGATAGGACAGCGGCACGGGACTCAGACATTGGGGGGGGTTCCCCTGTACTGCTTAGAGGTACCAAATAAAGATCTTGAATGTTTTTGATGGTCTTCTTTGGGGGGTGTCGAATTCGTCCACAAACAGCCCAAACCATGATTCCCCGCCACTCGTGCAGCTTCTGTTGGAGCGGGATTGGCGGATTGGCTCCCTCCCAGGCCTGCAAGAGCTCCGGCTCATGCTCGCACAAATGCCGCCAGGCACTACAGGACAAAGCCAGCTGATAGCGAGGATCCAAAGGATCACAAACCTGGAGGACACCCAGGTCGGATAGCAACAGGTCACTCGTGCGTATGGAGTGTAAAGCTTCCTCCAACAAACCGATCTGATGGATATTTAGTGGATCATTACAGCGACTAATTCATTGATTAGTTGGGGTGAATCACAACAATGTAAATGGAAGCCGGACTTCAACCAAGAACATCTGGACCTCCAAAGAAATGCTCCATGGAATGGAGATCCACAAAGTAGTGTGGGTAGTCTATTGGACCCTTGGAAGGTGCTGGTATCAAACAGAATTCTACTCTAACTGCAGTCCGGCTCACCTCCACTAGTTCCATCTAAGCATCCACTGATTCATAGATTCATATCTTCTGCCCACAAATAGTTAATCTTCCAGATTCCAAACTTTTTCCAAGCCCTGGGTGGCTCCTCGGAGGCTAGAACTGTTTGGAAGTCAGAATCTAGTCGATCGCCCGATCGAAACAATGACAAAAGAATCCAGGTCTGGCAGTCTTCCATCGCCTGCCTTCCGCATTCCGCTTTCACCTCCATTCCCCACCTGTTGATCCTTCTCGTCGCTGAACCTCAACTGGCCCTCTGCCAGCACCGCGTGCCTCGGCGAGTTATCAGTGCGCCTGGTTCTGAGACTTGCTACAAAAAGAGGCACATTCACATTGATTAGTCATTATAGCTATGCCAAGTCGAATTCTCCAGCCATCCAAATATTCGGAATGTCTTCCAGGGCTTCACCAACCTGTTCTGCAGCTGTGCTCCCTCAAGCTCATCGTCTTGTGGTATACCATAGTGCCCGTTCATGACATACAAGACTCTGGGATGTTCCTGATCTCCTGATACCCCTGGTTGAACACCCCTCCCCACTCCCAATTCTATCCAATTCTTCCAACCTACGACTTAACCCTCAGCCACTCCCAAAAATTACAACAACGCGGCCACAGCCTACTCTGACATGGTCCTGCCACTCGCAACATACAGTACGTCCAACCAACCCCTGCGAGTCTCGTCGTTCAACCGCGGCACAAAATGGGCTTCTCCACGATGCCGCATTGCCGACCGATGGCGATCCCCGTCAGGGCACTGTCGCCAGTGCAAATGACCGAACGAACGTTGCCCTCCTTCCTGGGAGCAAAAGGCGGTCGAACACTCCGGAGCAAGCAGTCGCCATGAAACTGCTTTTAAACAAATCAGATCATGATAACCAAGGAAGTACCAACAACGAATGCTGAAACAAATAAGCGGTGGATAGCAATGGCGCCACTTTCGAAGGAATTAACACACTTACACCGCTTACCTTTCACCTCAGATGTCCAAACACTCTTCTACAAATTGTTTTTTGGATGTTTTTGGATATGGCGATGATAGGGATAGATAGATAAGAGAAAAGCAGGCTCCACTGCTTTGGCTACCAAAACATCTTTATTTTCGGATCTTCCGAAAATGTGCGCGCTTTTTCTCCGTGCGCGGAATACAGTCACCCTACTTCTGACTGCAGCTCCTATCCATTCCATTCGCTCAATTGATGTGGCTGTGGATCAAATTCTGGATCCCCAATCCCTGTTAGGTTGACTTCCCTAGTTAGGCCCTAGTAGTCTATTGTGTTATATTGTGTTCATCTTCAGTGGTCTCTCCCAGGGCCATGGGCCACTTGCTTCTTAACAAAACACTCCCCTTTCTCCACACTCACCAACCTCGACATATCTCAACATATCCCTTTCTCCACCCTGGGCTAAACCCTGACACAGACACATATAGCACACGTACTAGCACACATGGCACAGCACACGTCCCACGTCCCACACGTCAATTGCCTTCCCATCGCATCGGAGGCTCAGCTGCCGGATGGCCTCTGGCGCCTCCGCTTTCATCTCATTCTGAAAAAGCAAAAGCCCCACCAAGTCGGCCTCCTTCTCCAGCTCTTCCCGGGCCAAGGCACACACCTGTGTGCAAAATGGCTCGGAGTGTCTTGGGGGATTCCCATCAAATTCACGGTGATTCGGGGTGAGGGTCATGAACCAACTCAGGTGGATGTACCTTCTAGCTGTATTTTTTTCTCTCTCTCTCTCTCTCTCTCTCTCCCTTTCTCCGTCTTTTCCTTCCATCGGCCATGGGTCTAGTAGATAGATATACGGTAGAGATGTCCGTCCAACAGGAACGAGCAACTCTCTGTGCCGGATTGGACACGCAGAAGGTGGAAATCGGCACGTGTGACAGACTTTTACAATGCATGTGTTTTGGTTGGTGATGTGGCTATCTGACTGGTGCTTAGTAGGGAATGAAGGAATGAGCCCCAATAGAGATTCCTTTGGATCCATTCCCTCAGATCCCTGCGAGTCGCACCAGTCAGCTATGCATGAAGAAGGCATCAAAACGTCGGCCCGGACGTCGCATCAGCTGGGACGTCTGTCAGCTCGGCCTCCTGATGGGTCAGGTCTTGCGGCAGCATCTTGTGGCTCACCCCAATAGTGTAGTAGTTGGCCTGCCAGAGAAGCCCGAACGCAGCCAGCTGCATCCAGACGCAATAAGAGCTGGCCACGCAATAAGTGTTCAGAAAGTGTTCAAAGAGGAGGGTCGGCCGCGGGTCAAAACCATGGACAAAGGGGGATCGTCCGCCGGAGTTGATGGAGCCCTTGCGCAAAAGGAAGAGAACAAGCGGTCTTTAATCCCAAAATGTCCAAGAGCCAGTCATTTCTGAATTAAAAAATCTGAGAGCCTCGCGATGACCCCAGTTCATCTGCTGAAAGGTCTTGAGACCCACCTATCCCATGCCCATGACCCATCCATAGGCCATGACCCGCCTTGGCATATTCGGTGACGGTGGCATCATAGTCGCTGGGGCAGGAGCTGGCTCGAGCAGCTGCTTTGATCTTCTCGGGGCTTCCCTTCAGGAAGACCTCCAAGAAGCCGTCGCGCTCTCCTGGGCTCAGTCCGTCAACCGTTCAAGCGATCAAGGGCGATCGAGCGCCGCGGAGCTCGTCTACCGCCAAAGTCCCGGACAACAAGCTGGTGAGCAACGAAAGGAGGGAATGGAGGGAATGCAGAGCTCTCAGACTCCATTTGGATTGATTCCCTCCTTCCTTACGGCAAGCGCGGTGCAGCGGTGCAGCTGTCGGGGCTGGGGCTTCACCGGCTTCGCTGCTTGCCTCCCGGTCCGGTCCGGTCCCTCTGCTACTCCGAGCGGCTGCGCAGGACCACGCCGCTGGTCATGCTTTGATGATCGAATTCCAACTCCCGCACGGTGACGCTCGCGTCCTCGGGCACCTCACGGGGATGGGATGGCGCATGCATGCGAAAGTGGAGACGCAGGCGCGACGGAAGGGGCGCAGGAAAGGTCAAAGGAAAGGAAAGGAAAGGGGCCCTTGTTGGACACAGGAGGTCCGAGCAACTGGGAAAGGATCCATCTTGGCCACCTGTTCTTTGTCCAGGATGGTATCTACGTGAGAGAGATCTGAACACGACACTTGACGTAGCGTGTGTTGACAGCTGTGTGGTTGTTGACGCATTCCTGGTCCAAAACTGTTGGATCATGTCGAACATTTCGGTCGCCTTCCATCTTCCTTGGCCTTCCTTGGTCCTCTTCCGTGGGGCACAAGCACAGGAACCAGGTCTGGTCTCTCAGAACAGGTCTCAGACGGTGTTCATTGACGTCCCAGCCATTCCGCCTCATCACCCATCTCGCGCATGCGCCGCAGCATGGCACACTCCAGCTCGTTGCCCACCATGCGGCCGTCTTGCAATTGCTTCACCTCGGGTGGTGACATGGATGTTCAAGGAAAAAATCAGGAAAAGCACCCAAGGCGTGCTAGTGCTACTAGTCTTCATCGATCACTCTAGGGTATTCAACTGAGATGGCCAAAACCAGAAATCCACATCAATCCTCGAGCCTCGAACATGGAAACGGCCACGCGGCCACATGCTCCAATCTGGACATGGAAACTCAATGTGGGACTCGGAAGAAGCCAAGGTTCTTTATCTTTTCTGTGTAGAGGCAAAAAGATCCTACAATCAACATCAATGGATTTCAATTGTTGCACTGAAAAGATCAAATCTTTCTCAGCCGACTGGGAAGTTGAAGACTCAGATGCTCTGAAACCACTGGCTTAAGCCGATCCTTTCTCATCCTGGCTTGGGCGGAGCGGCATGCGCAAGTGACTCCCCCGGCCCTCGGCGGTGCGGGAGGTAAGTCGGTAAGTCATGGGTTGAGTTGGTTCGTGCCTCAACGCCCCACCCAACCCCAGCTCCGCCCCAGTTCCACGGATGCCCCCCGAGCGACCGTATGGCATCGCCGCAGCGCCCGCCACAGGGCCTCGCCGGCCGCGAACGCGCCGTCGGGCGCGCCGTCGAGGCGTTGGCAGCGCAGCAGCTGGGCATCGGCGATGGGATGCCTTTGAACCCGGGGGACGGGCGCGGCGGCGGTGTGGAGATGTGTGGCTCATTTCAGTCCCAAGCAATGTCCCAAGCCATGTCGCAGGAGTCTGGGAAGGCCGATTGTGATCATGTGCTACGCCAAGCTGGGAATACGCCGAGCAAAGGACATATATGACGATGAGATACGGACATCTCATGATCGTAACTCTCGTGGTAGTAGGCATGTGAAAGCGAGGAGTGTCAGGGATTGCCATGCTGGTGATGCGAGTCAAGGCATTCCAAGGCGCACGGCAGCTAGGTCCATACTGGACTTGGTGATGGTGCCCGTCTTGTCGAAAACCATGGTCGAAATCTTGCCAGCAATGGGAATCCTGCTGAGCGAAAGCGATTTCGATGGCTCGCATGTCAGGACTACTGCAGGATGGCAACCTATACTCTTCAACAAAAGCATCCTCCACTGGAGTTTGCAGTATGTTTTGGGGCTCTAGTCTAGAGGGAGTGCACCTATGAAAGGGCCTACAAATCCACCTGATGACAGGAAAGACGCAGCAAAAGCCATGGCGAAGCTGAGGAAACGACATGACAAAAACACAACTCCGTCACCGCCTGTTGGAGTCAGTCCTGCCGGAAAAGCTGAAAATGACTGGCCAGGCCACCCCCGGCTAAATGACAGGACCAAAAACAATGCCAAAACGCTCACCATCTCTCAAGCCTTCTCAAACCAGGAATAACACTCGTCGCAAGACCCCCAGTCCACACACCTCCATCCTTCACGTCAGTCCTCCCTGGCTGAAGGCATTTGATCTGATAGTTCTCGCCATCCGTCAAGCGTTTGGCACTCGCCGACTGCCCCATGACCAAGGAGACGGGGAGCATCGGGTTCAGGGCTCCCACCAAACAGCCTCGAGGAAACCAGGGGTGCAGGGCTACCAGCCGCCCAGCTTCGTATAGATCTCTCTCTCCTCTCTCTCTCTCTCTCTCTGTGACTATGCTGGGCTTGACTCTTTCAACTCCCTCATGGAGGCACCAACCAACATCGCCCTACTGAGGAGTCAAAATGGATTTCACTCAAGACCACTGGTACAAAGTGTTACGTGCTCGCTCAGCAGTATGCACGTATTTAAGATCTTCGCGTCCTCAGGGACACGAGCATCTCCCTGGCACCCTTCTCTCCAAGTGGCAGGCAATATTCAAGAACTTGACGACCCATGACCCTTCGTTGACCGAGGTGAACTTCAAGAGAATGAGGACGCAAGCATAAAGGCACATGATCCCATAGACCTGGCTGTGAACGCCGCGAGTTCCGCAACGCCCATGGTTGGGGCATTGGGATTCCCTGTGCGCCCGGCAGCATGTCCAGTACTCAGGTCCAGCTTCCCTCCATCAACCTCAGCCCTCCAGCCACTGCGAGCATCGCACGAGACTACATGGCATCAGGTGCGAAAACACATTCATCCAGGTAGACCTCGCTTGATCCGACTTCTTCGCATCGTTGATCGTTTGGACGGGCTTCTACCTCCGGGCCCCGGACGGGTGAGACCTGTTTCCAGAGTGATGCCCTGTCAGCTCTTGGGAAACATTCATGTTCTTTCTTTTCCTTCTGGCGTTCGGCTTAGAAGGAGAGGTGCTCTTCCAGACTACGTGCCTTCTTGTGCCTTCTCTTGGGATATTGCTGGTATCATGGTCTCACAGCAGGAGTTGCTAAAGCCTTGTTCCTGCCGATGTTTCTAGTCATTTCGATGTTTAAGGATGTTCTTGGTCTGGAGTGGAGTGGTCTTCTTCTTCCTCTTCTTCTTCATCCTCTTCTTCTTCTTCTTAACCCTTCCTCTCGGGTTGGCCAGAGCCTGCCCTTGAGAGACCCTAGTTCCCGCCTGGGGGGAGCTGCTCTGTGTACTTGAAGCGGACACTGGCAGGGAAAAGCACCATTCTCACCTGGGGCTCTTAAGCTACCACAACTGCTGGGCCATGGAACAAACATAGGACAAACCCGGCAACAAAGAATTCTTGGCCTTCAATGGTCTGTGCCGTTCGCTTTCGCCTTTGCTTTCTGTTTCAGACACCAAGTGGCCAAGGAGCCGCGAGTGGTCAAGGCGCCCACCTCTGTACAGTAGACCAAGGCACGGTGCTGGTCCTCTGGAAGGCCCTCTGACTCCAGCACGCGCGTGCCTAGCACCGGACAGCGAGCACGTGAAAACGCAGCATGGGGCACCCACGGTGGTCGTGTATATGGTGGATTTGATTTAATCAACCACAATCAATCCCCCCATAAGAGGTTCAAATGCTGTTGTTTTGTTAAAACAGGTTTGAATTCCTCCTTGAATTAGGGTGTGAACCAGTGAGTCTCTTGCGTACAAACCATTTGTTCCTAGGGTTAGACCCGGGATTGAGAGAGTTTTTGTTCACCCTTTTTCACCCCAAGATGTTTAGTCTTGACTTCCTCACCCCCCAAGAGCAGAAGCATCCCCCTCCGCGCACCGGCAAAGACTTTGTTGCTCTTCGGTCTGATCCTCAGGGACGACGGCCGATCCAAAGGACGAGGACGAGGACTTCGAGGACGAGGACGCACCCATCCGTGGTTGGTGACCTGTCACGTGCTGTATTGCAGTATATACGTGAAAGGAGATGGAGAAAAAGAACACCTGGCTCAGGTTTTCGGAGTCCAGATGTGAGTTCATGGTCATCCGTGGGTTGGGGCGAACTGCCATCCACCATGATGTCCGGGATGTGTTCTACCTCTAGTAATTACTTCTACTTCTATGTTTGAGACCTTTTTCCCTTTGCCATGATTCCTTCTTTGGATGGTTTGGCGCGCCTGCCGCACCTGCCCCTGTCCCACCAAAACATGCGCAGCTTCTACAAACGTCGAACTCCGTAGTCAGGCAGTCTATATACGGGGAATTTTCGTTGGAGTATTGGAGTCTCTCCTTCACTTCACTAACCCAAACAAGTACCAGGTGTACCCTCCCCATTTGGAGTGTAGAACGTCTTTATACCCGCATCTTCCTGATGTATTTTTTGGGGCTGCTTCAAACCAAACATAGTTGTTAGGCCGGGGAGGGTCTGACATATCTGTCGTGCAGCACGTTCCGAAACGGCGCCTTCTTGTTTGCACACTTTTTCGGTTGCACGTTCTGAAGGTTCAAAGTGGCAGGCAAACCCATGAAGCGGCAGTTTTCCAGAAAACAACTAAAACCACATGAAGACAAAAATTAGTTGAGTTTCACACAGCAACAACAATTGTACATGCCCGGGTGTCTTAGGTATTGGTGATTTTGATGTGATTCTATTTCTCAATCACATTAGACGGATGGTGGCAGAAATCTGGTCTGTCCAAAAGCCTGGAAGCGTCCCCAAAACCATCTCAGAGATTCTCAGAATCACCTCACACAGGCCTGGCGGCCGAAACCCATGGTCTGTTCGAAGCAGGAGGGCTTGGTCGAGGTCTTACAGATCGACACCACAAGGTCCAACACCTCGCGGTGACCTGGCATGACTCGATGACCCCACCCGCGGTGTACGCGGTACGCACGACGCACCGCAGACCGCAGGTGGGTCATCGCGCGACTCGGTGGGTCACTCCGAGCCCAGGGACTCGTCACTCTCGATGGGCGTTTTGGCCACAGGCATCGGCTCGCCTCGCTTCTGCGGCGGGTTCCTACCTTCCAGTTGCCTCTGTGAGAGATGACCCAAGTAGAATCACTGAGAGCGTTTTCATGTGAAAACATGACAATACCATAAAATACCAGGAGTCACCAAGACGGGATGGTTTCTAGTCCCATCCAGTGCGTGGAGTAGCTAGGCGCCCCTATCCTCCATGAATAGCTACTAGATGCTATTAGGTTGGAGGCCATCGCTAGTAGGTTGGAGGCCATTGCCATTAGAATGCCATGACTATTAGGCTCCCTTCCATTCATCAACCGTTAAAAGGCCCATCTGGCAACTGGTGCCCGCCTGTGAGCATGGATTCGTTGACGATGAGGCTACCACTGATGAGCAAACCATCGCAGGGAAGCTCCACGTCTCGTCCTGAGCAAGCCGATTGCCAAATGCAAATAGTAACAAAGGGCATCGCTACGAACGGATCAAGGACGCTACTAGGGGCTCCTGGCCTTACTACTAGGAGCCAGAAGCTCCTGGGAGCAAAGGGCATCGCTACTAGTAACAAAGGGCATCGCTACGAACGGAGAAAGAAGCTACTAGTAGCATTGCAGTAACTATAGTAGTAACAAGCTAAAGACTATGTCATATTGGTCTCAGTGAGTCGTTTTCTCTACGTCCAAATCGGGGGGTTCTCTGGATCCATCCGCTTCTCCACACCGACCGGGGGCAGATCGCAGCGTTCATGGACCCTCAAGCGACTGCACCTGACTGCTGATGGGACAGATCTCCAGCTTCGAAGTGAACCCCATGTGACTTCGTGCTCCATCTTTTTGGCGGAGCATGAACAGCAGGGTGCTGAAACGAAACTGGATTTTCAGAATGGGTCACAACATGTGACAATCTCTCCTCTTCGTGGGGTGGCCAACACCCTTCTGTGGCTCTAGCGTTAATATATCTTAAGATCCTTAAGGGAAATTATATAGACCCCCAAATAGATAGAAAGGTAGATCCCAACTAAAAATTAAGAAACATGTATTGGAAACCGGCTCTATCTTTGAACCGGGGACCACTACAGACACCAAGTCCACATCAGGCTTTAAGGACCCACCTAAAGTGCAGTGCAGCTGCCAGCATTGACTTGAACGATATCTCCCAAAGCCTGAGATGATCCAAGCTCCGTCGACCGACCAGTTTGGGAGCTCAGTCGAGCTCCATTCTCCCGAAGCCTAACTATATAGGTCGAGCAGAACTCAGTTGGCCAAAGGGACCAGCTGCGGCAACCCCACAGAAGAACATCCAGTGATTCAAACCGTTCCCTGAGATCTGTGTCACACTCGGTAGCTAGAAACTAGTGAGTACCCCCGAAACCCTGGCAGTTTTGCCTGCTTCCCTCAGTCATGGCGGGGAATGATGCTGCAGAACACGTGACGAGTCGCCAGATCCACTCATCAAAAAAAAGGAATACGTCCAATCTATGTCAACCACACACCAGGCGGCGGACCTACAGAACGATGTATATATCGGGATATATATATATATATATATTATGTATATACTGTTATGTAGTAAGAACCACTCGGCAACTACCGAAAAACTTTAAACCTCCGGTAATTCCATTCAGAGCGATACAAACCATCCAGATTGGGCCAGCTCAGTCATGCCACCCCCACGACACAAGGTGTAGAGTATGGAAAGGTTCTCATATTCTCAGATCCTTCAGCCAATGTTCCCTATTCCGGGAGGTGGCCCGGTAGTGAAACAGGCGGCAAAGCGGGTACTCTGAGGAGGCCCACAAGGAAAACCAAAATGTACAAGCCACCCGCAATGAGTGCCGAGGACACGGTGAGGTCACTATCTCAACCAACTGGAGGAGATAGGGATTTCCACGAGCCGCGCCCGTGAGAAGAAAACCCCTCAAAGACATGACCAGGAGAAAGCCTATGAAAGACCCAAGAGCAGCTCAAATCCATAGAGCCATAGAGCAAGCTGGAGAAAAGGATAGGAGGAGACAGCAATGTGCTGTAAACGAGCCACTATCTCTGTGACATCCACATCCTTGTACTTCCCCTCGCGCAGCACACTGCAGGTCTGCTGCACACGCGCCAGATTCGCCACCTTCCAACACAGCGGTTTGACAAAATCTGAGTTGTGTGGTCCAGGAAAATTACCAGCGTGTGAAGTTTGGCAGTCTAAACAAGACTTCTTCCGACTATCATACCCGCAGCAATGACACCCTGTTGAAATCCATTCCCCTGGAAATCATTGGAAATCTATTTCGTGGCTAACCTTCCAGGGGAAGCTTGAGACATGTATCAGTATTATCAGTATCAGTGAGAACCACTGTTAGAGTTAGAACCACATCTCCCCCAAGCAACCCAGGTTTCAGCCGTCTTGACCTGGTCAACCCCACCTTCTTCTGGTTGGGCCTCGTGATGCCCAAGGCTCGGTAGAGGCCAGAGCCCAAGGTCATCAAGAGCCATAAAAGGCCGATGTTCCAAGTGGTGTAGCCTCAGCTTTGATATCTGGTCATAGTCTGAACTGGTCTCAACAGCTGGGACGTGATGGTGAAGGCGACGGTTCGGCTTGGCTTCGGTGTCTTTTGAGGTCGCAATCCCCGGCTCCAGACTCAGGGCAAAGCCTTTGATCGTGTGCGTATGTGTGGTATCCCA